CTGACTGACTGACTGACTGACTGACTGAGTGACTGAGTGATTTACAAACTAACTGTGTTTTGACTTATGGTTCTTCAGTTGTTGGTTGGGTGTGCTTTGAAGAATTTCCAGATCTAAGCATTAAAGTGAAATTTTGTAACTTTAAATCTTCTCTGTTTTCAGACGTGCTTTAAGTTCGTTTCCGTTGTTTGGTGGAAATACGTCGCAGTCAACCGAAATTTCCTCACCGTCGCATCCTCGCGAGCATGCTTCTGGTATCCCAAATATCCGCACGACACACAGGATCCAACGTTTCATAACTTTCTTTTCATCGAGTGATAATCAGGTTTTTGCTTATACAGTTAACTTAGAATATTCTTCTTCTTTTCAAATACATTATGTAGTAGTTTAATTAAGTTATATTACTTAGTAGTTAAATTAGTTTTTCAAAGTATTTAAATTTCACGTTTTGGAATGAAAAGCTTAAATTTATATTTATTTACTTTCAGAACTAAATTATTTGTTTGACACAAAAAAATAAGTTTTTCAACTGCTGAAATACTATTTAGCATAGTGTGAGAAGTTACTGTACAAATAAGTTTTGACATTCGTAGACTAGAATGTAGACGAAGCAAACAATGTTAACATGAACAGTTTACGTAACAGTAATGTTTATGCTCAAAAAATTTCAGGGTAAGCAGGCGGGCAATATTTCCGGAGTACCGGGCTCTTCAGCCGGAAAAAGGTATATAAAAAAGGCTTCAACAGCCACGGTTGCTGGATCAAATGTTACTTCTGCTTTTATCCCAATTTATGCAAAGGAAGTGCGGAAACAGGGCCAACTCTATCATCAGGTTTGTTTTCTCTCTGAAAGTTTATTTGTTAGAAATATGCTGATTTATACAAAAAAAGTATGTTTGTTTACCTAGCGTTTTTTTCTGCATTTTGTTTGGGAATGAGAACTTTATGTTGCTGTAGTTTTAAAACAGTTGCTTTGAATGGAACTTATTTGGTATTTTTGTTTCAGGAAACAGCTCTTGGTGAATCATTAAAAAATGCCCAGAAACGCTGGGAACAATGTTGGGCTGTTCTTCAAGCTTACAATCTTTATTTATGCCGTCAGTTAAGTTCGTATGTAAGCGATGAAACTCAGGAGAAAGTAAGTTTTTTAGCAATTATTTTTATTGTTTTTATATAAATTTTACGGTTATTTAGCCTTTTTTTTCTTTTTTTGATTATTGAAGCAATTATTTTTAATCATTTTTGTAGAGCGGAAAAATTTTTCGTTTTTCAAATTTCTCATTTTTTGCAGTTCTTGTAAGTGTAGTTGTTGATGGAGAGCATAGTGCTGAGTGGAAAGGTGAAGGAGATTGTATGATTTTGTGCTTTGTGGGGCTGGAAGAAAACAAGAATTGTATGTTAAGAATGGCTGTGGGCGGTAACACGGGTTGTAGGAATTCGGTGAACCGATGAAACTTAGGTGTCTGTTGTACTGACTGATTTATTCTCAAACAGTTCTTTTAGGCAGCTAGTTTTCTTTATTCCATTGCCCTTAAAAGAACCTATATTATTTATTTATACTTATTAGGCCAGCTTTATGTTTTTCAAACATCACTTCTCAACTACAGAAATCGGTTTTTGTATTGGATTCTTTTTTGGGTCTAAACGTTTTTTCTCTTATAGCTTACTAAGCTTACAGTTGATATATTGAAGGAAAAAAAAGTGTACAATTTCTGGAAAGGTTAAATATAGTTGTCGGTTGAGTTTTTATTGAAAAGTTTTGAATTAACCAGTTTTTTTTCTTTTTCTGCTATACAAAATATTTAGTTCTATATTTAATTAGGAGGCTTGTGAAAACTGATCTCACTTTATTGGTATTAACACCGTTGAACAACAGCACTGACAGTGCCAATAGCAAGAACTTCCGGTGATGAACATAATTTTACTCAGATATTGCTAGTTTTTTTCTTTTATTACCACTCAACTAATGTTTCTGTTTCGTTGAACAAAAAAAAAAGAAATTTTTTCTGATTTTATTGATTTGCAACGAACAACTGGCAATTTATGGGCAACCTTTTTTGCATTTATATTTTGAAACGAAAATAGATAGAGGAAAGAAAAGAAGAAGGAAAAAAAGCGGAGAAATTTTTTCTATTTGAAATTCAGATTCACCAAACTTTGTTGTGTCATTTGTGTATATAAATATATTTTTTTTTGCGCCTATTTATTCATAGATAGAGTATGAAAGAGGAGTTGTTAGCCAAGGCGTATTCGGTCTCTATTTGGTGAAAACCTGTTCCTTTTTTTTTTCAACTTTCTAATTCGTTAGAAAATTATGATGATTGTTGTTATGCTTCTTCTCTATTATCATCTCTAACGAAACATTAGAGGCAAACATTAGTGCTTTTTATTCATTAACTGAC